TTTATTGCTGTGTATCATATATCATCATTCACAATATTGTTTCAACCATTCTTCAGAGTTTCAAATGTGTTGTCTTAATTGAATTAGTGACGTGCATCGTGAAAGTCACCGCTGGTCCACTTCCTGTCCAGCTCTTCTTCTTCTGCGCTTTAATTCAGATGGTTTTACACCAGTCAGACTGGTGGTGCAGTGTCTCGGCTGTGCCGCAGGGGGCGCTGTGAGAACACGCAGTGATGCTGTGCAGTGAAGAAGAAGAGTCAGGAGCCATAATAAACAGTCTTGCTAACAGGAGGTAAAAAAAAAACGCTTTCGTCTTGTTTATCTTTCTTTTCCTCTGACGAACACAATCTGTCATTTCATTCTTTCTCAAATTAAAACGCACGCAGGAGAATTCAGGCGTTACGTTGCGTTCCTGACGTTGTTCGTAGTGACGTACAGGCGCTGGCTGCTAGCTGCTAGCTGCACCGTTAGCTTGTTTACTCCCGGTTTGTCTTTGATGTCCCCGGTCTCCGGTCCCGCGTGCAGACATGGAGAGTTTGTACAAGCGGAAGATGTTCGCGTCGATGCGGAAAACCAAAGTGGACGCATCGAAGAAGCGTCAGATCGGCCTGCCCGCCTCCATCCTGGACGACAGTGACGAAGGCTCCTTCTCCTCCTCCTCCTCCTCCTCCGGATCGCAGTCCGACTTCCAGAGCTCCCCGGAGGAGAACAGCGAGCAGGGCCACCGGGACCGGAGCGAGTCCGGGACTGGCTCCAGCGACGACAGCCGCTCCGTGACCCGCAGGAAGCGCTCGTTCCTGGGAGGTGACGACAGCTCCTCGTCCTCCAGCCCCGGGGAGGAGGACGATGAGGAGGAGGACAGGAGCCAGCCGAAGAAGACTGTGCAGCCCAGGAAGAGGAGCAGGCTGCAGCGGCAGGACGAGTCCGACTCCGACCATGTGGAGGAGAAGAGAAGAGAGGAGGAGGAGAAGCTAAAGAGGAGACAGAGACACAACAAGCTGCTGGCGCTGTCCCGGAGGATGAAGGCCAGGGTCCCCAACCGGAGGAGGAACCGTGTGAAGCAGGTACACACCGGGACAAACACACACACGGACACCCGCACACACACCCACCAGGACAAACACACATGGACACACACATGGACACACCCACCAGGACAAACACACATGGACACACACCGGGACAAACACATTTTCAGTGTCAGTCTCACGTGTTTCTGTTCTCAGGGTGAATCCGACGAGGACGAGGATGAGGCCCGTGGTGATGAACATGAGGACGGAGGAGAAAACAGTAACAAGAAAGTGTTGAGAGGAGGTAATGATGGAGGCAGGGAGGAGGAGAAGGTGGAGCAGGAAGAAGAGGAGGAAGAACAGCAGGATGAGGAAGAAGAGGAGAACGAGGGAAATAAATAGATCACAGAGTGGTGAAGAAAGGAGGAGTTTGAATGTGAAGAACTCAGAAACTGTAGTGATCTGAAAATGGATCATAATTCTACTTTTTTTCTTCCTCAGAATGTCGGAGCGCTAAGAATTGTTGTTACAAGAGTTTTATGATCATATCTTGTTCCTATATCAACGTAAGTCTTGTGACAAGCAGAGTACGATGTCCCCTGTGGAGAGTAGAGGAGCCTGAAGTGAGCCTGAAACACTCTTCATGTCTGCTGCTGCTGATCTACTGACACATGTCCAGTCAAAACTCGTTTCACTTAAAGCAACATAATGTAACAGTTACTGAGCAACAGCGCCCCCTGCAGCCACACATGGTGATTAACTCTGTTGGTCTGTGTCTGAGTGATGAAGTGGTTTCATGTAAAAACAAAGTCTATCAATGTGTTGAGCCCTGACTGTCGTCCCACTGAAACAAATCCACCAAACCGTTCAGAGTTCTTCATGTTTGAAAGTTTGCTGCTGAACATTGGAGATAAACTCTGGTTGTTAAGAACTGATCTCAGTTCAGCTTCACTCTTCCACTGGAGCTGATGGAGACTCTCAGTCACTTGTTCTCTCAGTAGATGAACCCACTCAGCAGAGTGAGAGAACAGACTCAGGGAGCGAAGGAGGAAATGTTCTCCACGTTCACACTCACACATCAGACTCACTTTGATCAAGCTGCTGCTTCAAGGTAGAAAAGTTTCATCGTGTTGATTTAATGTCACTCGTCCCAAACATCATTCTGGAAGTTGACATTTCATAAAACACTTCTGTCAGTAGATCAGCAGCTGCTCAACCGTTCAGACTGAGGATTTCAGAGCAGCAGCTCTGTGACTCATTTTTTACTGATAATGAGAAAGTCACAGTTAATAAACTGTTTCCATGACAACAAAAGAAGAGACATCTTGCAGAACGAAATCTCCAATGAGAAAGCTTTGAAACTCTGATGTCACAGGCTCAAGATGGACAGTGACCGCTGAGGCTTGTGGGAACTGTAGTATTTAGAGTCAGTCAATATACCCAGCTGTGTGTTCAGTTACTTCTCTGTTGTTTTTTTTCTTCCTCTTCATTTACTTTTTCATTTGAACTAGAGTTCAATGTTTTTTAAATTTCCTGCTCCTGCCTATGTCAGCAGAAGATTTAAACTCAATCAAGTCAAACACTTTACAATTTTACAATTTTACAGTTTTTTGTCCACTCACCTTTTCTCCATTATAGTTTAAAACCAGCAAAGTGTGTTTTGGGAGTTTTGTCCATCGCTGCTTGAGTTTTACGAATGACAATGAAGTGAATCTGTTTTGGTTTTGGACTGAAAACCAGAGATTTGAAGACAAAGATATTCTTTATTATTTTCATAGCCTAAAAGATTAATATAAAAACATTTGATGAGTCTGAGAGCTAAAACTCTACAGGAGTGTTTGTTTGACCTCAGCTCAAACCTTTGTGAACAGTGTGTTGTAAAGAAAAAGAATGAATGAAGACCTAATATGTGGTCGAAAGCTCAAGTACATTAAACAGCTCAAAAAATAATCTTTTAAACCCACTTTGATCCAAATCTCTTCTTTTATCCTCATCGCACACACACACAGCGGAGAGGAAACATGGACAGAACTATCAAAATAAGATTCAGACTGGAAAAGAAACAATACAAGTTTCTTCAGAGATTCTGGACTTAACTTTTAAAGGCAGACAACTGAAAATTAGCTGTTTACTTTTTGCACTCGATGAAAGTTTTTTTAATTAAATTGGTCAAACCAGTTTTGTAAATATCATCATGTTAGTGTGTCAGAAGAAGACATTGTGTTTCTTGGGAGTTAAAACTTCTTTTTGAACTTGTTTTATTTCTTTCTAACGTCTGTTTCAGTGACGCATCATGTGCTCATGTACAAACTCATCAGAAGTTCGGTCTTTCTTCCTTCCCTTGTTTCCTCCCTTCCTTTAGTCTTACCTTCCTTCCTTTCCTCCTCACAATGTAATGCAGTGTTAAAACTCACCACATTTATTAAAGACCAGAAATAAGCTGCAGTTTTCAGTGACTGAGCCTGCAGATCTTTTTGAAGACTTTGTGCTGGACTCACTACAGTTTGTTTTACAGTATCATGATGACACACACGTATCATGGTTACATATAAGTGCTGTGTATTTTCCAGTGTATTCCTGGTCTTGTTACTGTGTAATGCTCTTCAGACCAAACCTTCTCTGTTGAAAACCTCGGTTTTATTAATAAAGTTTCCTTTTTAAAGGTTATTTGTTGAAAATCATCACATCTTCACTTTGGCAGCATATAACTACATTTCCCATGATTCCGTCTGCCATATTTCATTTTGTTAATGTTGTAAAACCTGATGCACAGTCGCCTCAGGACAGGATGTTTGCAAATTCTCTCTTTCTCTTTCACCCTATCTTTGTGAGCAAAGCAATGAAGAGTGGAAAAAATACATTCTTTTAGAAATATGTGTTAGGTTTGTAAAATTGAACCTTTTTACCCTTAGAATTGTTATTTTCTGTAAAAGCTGGTATATGAAAACATTAATGCTAAAAAGCTCATGTAATAATATGCGAGTCCTCAACGTTCAGTCTGTTTTCTTCCACTTGAAGTATTTTAAAATGCAGTTGTAATGTTTGATGTAGTCTTCGCACACGAACACCATTTCCCACAAGCCCTCGATGTCGTGGCCAAAGGGGCGTGTCTCCATGTCTCTCCCAGTCAGGTGACTGGATGTCCGCCGCCATGATTGTTAGTGGCAGTGAAGCCTGAGTGAGGAGGAGGAGCAGCAGCGGAGGCTCGGTCAGAGTGAGTCCGGCTCAGAGTGCGTGTTGTCCGGGGAGAGTCATGGTCCAGACGTGCTCAGCCTACGGATGTAAGAACCGATACCACAAAGACAAAGATGTCTCCTTCCACAAGTGAGTCCTGCCGCGGAGCTAGTTAGCATTAGCTGCACCAGAGAGCTGGCTTCACTTCTGTGTGAGTTTAAAGGAGAACTGATCCTCAGCAGCGCGACACGAGCGACACACGACAACACGACACATCCTCCGCGTCCGGACACTGAACCCTTCAATTCGGCTCCAATTCACCAGCAATAAAGTTTCTGTGAAACATGTGAACACACACACACACACACACACACACACACACACCTTCCACATGTTCATGTTCCACAGACTGAATCCATCGTCACATGTTCACATACGTTAAACATGTTAATTCAACATATTCTCACATGTTCATGTTGGCTACGTAGCGGAAGGGGAGGGGCCTCCACTGCATCTTTAAATTCGAACACAGGTGGCGGCTTCATTTTGATGTCACATGACTCTTGAGGGGACCTGCGAGTTGTTAAGTCACGTGATAAAAGCAGCTGGCAGATATTAATGGACAACAAGCGCTGTCAGCTTGTGATCCTCGTCCCGATGCTTTGTACAACAGTCGTGTTTGATTGTGTCAACGTCAGCGTCTCACTACTTAGTTCAGTGACCGAAACATACGGGAACGTTTTCTGAGCAGCAGCGGCCTCTGTGGCCACAGGTGGTCATGACAGGATGCTGGTGCATTAAATACCATTTGGCGCTGTCCGGTGTTTGTCTTTGCTGATGGACTGACTGACTTCTGCAGGTTTCCTCTGGCGCGTCCAGATGTTTGTGGGAAATGGGTGGCAGCGATGAGGAGGAACAACTTTAAGCCGACGAAGTACAGCAACATCTGCTCACAGCATTTCACAGAAGACTGCTTCAAGAGAGAGTGCAACAACCGAGTGTTGAAGGAGAACGCTGTGCCGTCACTTTTCACCTTCAGCCTCAGCATCAAGGTGAACGGTCCTCACACTCGTCCTGACTGAAGTGTGTCTGCAGCTTGATGTTGTTTTATTCACAGTTTCTCATTTAGATCATGTTTGACAGCTTTCAGTCTGAGGGGTTTTTCTTGCCTGCACTTTTTATCCTGGTACAATCAGACGTCAGTTTGACGGGGCAGGTGTGAACCGAGTAACTACACATACTTTAACGTTTAATTCATGTATTTATGTCATGTGAAATCAACTGAACAGCGCAGAGACTCTTTAGAGGAAGTGGTTTTGGTTCCAAACAAAATATCGAGCAGTTTGTCCGACTTTGCACCGACAGAACTACCAGGTGTGCTCCGCAGGTTTGAGCTAAAGGCTCCTTATCCAGCTGTGCTTTGCATTAGCGCTGTTTCACAAAGGTCCGACTTTGTCTTCAACTTGCGTAGAAATGATGCAAAGAACCACCGTCATGCTCTTCATGTGTCGGTGGATTCATCTGCTGTGTCACATTGAAATGTGCTGGAGGAAACTTTACTTCAGTCAAGTTTCTGGAACTCATGGTGGACAGGCACAATACATTATATTTAGAAAACAGAGGATGTCTGTAATCAGACAAGCTCTAGTCAGATATATCGAAATGAAATCAAAGATAATCTTGAGCCTAGACGTGGAGAACAGACTCTTTCACACCTTCTTTGCTTCAGACCTGAGTTGAGGAAGCAGCGACAGAACTTTTGTGTGTTCTGTGTCCGACAGTCGGAGTCTCTGGAGACTCCGTTCCCCTCAGAGATCCACTTCCCTCTCTCTCTGCCGCTGACATCTGACCCAGTGGAGGAGGAGCCTGAGCCTGGGAGGAGCCGGCACGACACCCGTGGCGACACTATGGTGGTGTCCTGCGACCACAACTACACGGCGGAGGACTCGGTGAGGCAGAAGAGGCGCATCGAGCAGCTGGAGGATCAGCTGGAGCGTCTGAGGAAGAAGCTGAAGACGACACAGCAGAAGTGTCGGCGGCAGGAGCGACAGCTGAAGAGGCTGAAGGCCGTTTGCAAGGCCCCCAGGACCGCGTGTGAGGCGCCGGCAGCGTTTGGCGAGGGATATGTGGTTTTACCCAAACAAATGTACCAGACCCTCCGAGGCATCGAGTGATGAGGAGGGGTAAAAATCAGATGAGAGTTAGATTGTGCTGCAGGTTCAGCTTTGGGACTGTGAGCAGACACAGAAGCTGCTGAGCAGAAAACTGAAGGAGTCGACATTTAGGAAGAACAAAGCAGGACGTGGATAAAACAAACTCCTGACGTCCATTTCTTCTTTTACTCCTGTTTTCTGTTGCAGTGAAAATGAGACACTGGTGCAGTGACTCTGCAGAATTATCTGATGATGATCAAGAATCACAGACTGTTAATAAAAGATCATAAACCTCCATGTTAGCAGATGTCAAAGATGTTTCTGTCATTTCATCACTGATGTTTGTTCAAGTGTTTCTGATCAGTTTGGTTTGAATTAGTTATTTGATGATATATAAACAGGCTGACACGTCATGATTGACAGCTGACACGTCATGATTGACAGCTGACACGTCATGATTGACAGCTGACACTGTGTCAGGATTGGTTGAGAACATCTATCAACAGGACTTTGACACCACGGCTCCACGATCACTCCTGCACAAACTGACTGTAAATGACGTCATCACCACAAGATGTCAGCGTTAATATCTGAGATATTTTGACTTAAAGGTTCAGTGTAAGATTGAATTGAATTTAAATAATCCTTGTGATGTGTTTGTGTTTCATCTAAATTGTATGAATTGTAGTTTTCTTGACCATAGAACAGATCGTTATATTTAAATACTTTATATTTACATGGAGGGGGGGGTCCTCTCTGTGGAGGCCGCCATGTTTTTTACTGTTGATCAAACTTGACAAACAAACCTTTTGAGTTTCCATGACAACTGAAGTCCACCACAGGTTCTCTTTCATGGTGAGATGAGGGGTGTTCAGCTGCAACATGAAACTTCACCTCTAGATGTCACTAAATTCTACACACTGAACCTTTAACTTCTGGAGACGTGTCATCGTCTTTATTTTCAGTCTCTGAGGCCTTTCACATATTAAAGTTTGATGTCAATCTGAACTAATCCTGTTGGATCTGCGGATTCTTTTAGACGCTGCAAAAAAACGTGTCTCTAAACCTGCAGACTTTGCTCTGGGAACTTTCCCATAATCCTCAGTGATATGGATGCAAAAATACAAAATAAATAAATAAATGAAATACATGAGTTATTTTTGACGACATTAGTTTTTTTCTGTCTGAAGTCTCAGAACATCTCTGTTGCTCCAGTTTGGTGAAATATACAAAGTGTGTCTGTGACCTGAAGTGATCACATGACCAGAGAGAGAACGCCAACATCACAACTTTCATATTAACAAACAGATTGAACATTTAAAAATCTTCTGACATAAACATTGATACTGTTTTAACACAAACTTCAATTCAATTATTTTACAGTTTTCATTAAAATGATGTGTTTAATGACAAACAGCAGTGATACTTTGGGCCAGCAGGTGGTGCTGCAGAGCTGTCAGGAAACTGGTTTGTTTCCACATGTTCTCATCTGACCTGGATACATGTGAACACATGAAATGAGAAGGCTCAGATTTGCTGCAGCTGCTTATCAGTGCTGATTAATGGATCATTTAAGAATGTGTTATATGTTATATTTGTCTCTTTCTTCTCTCTGTTGTGAGATGAGCAGATTTTTCTTCCGATTCTTTGACGGGGACCAACTCACAGAACTAATGTCTCATTTTAAAAAGGAGCTAAGGACCAGTGGATTCAGACCCTGGTTCCCTCCACTAAGAGCGCACTGGATTTTTCCAGAAAATAAACTGCTTGTTTTATTCAGCAAGATTATTTTCATGAATTCAAATCACCTTAAAATCATGTTTGTCACATGACAGAAAGTGAGCAAGAGTTTGTGAGAGTGAAAGTAGAAACAAGTCTGTAGAGTTGAACTCTGGTTTTTATTTTCAGTGTGATGATGTTTAGATCTCATACCTTCCCCAAGATCCAACAACACCGAATGTCCGATTCTTTTCATCAAGATCGTGAATTATTCTCTTGAGAAATCAGTTTTAAAATACATCATTCTGACCCACAAGACCTCCTTCACCAAGTTTACTGTTGATCTGTAGTTTTGTGTAAGCCTGTTGACAAACACACAAACTAATGGACAGGGATGAAAACACAACCTTGGTGGAGGTAATCACATTTCTTGATCACGTTCCTCTTCCCCAGAGGATGAACCCTGCAGAGTAGGATGAGCTCTGCAGCACCACCCTCTGGACAAACTTCAGTAGAATCATCAGTGTGTTTTTTGTGTAATGACCGCAGCAGGACGTCACATACAGGCCCCGCCCCCTCAGGTGAACACACCTCTGTGAAGCTGATGCAGGTTGATGTGTTTGTTACGAAGGTCCAGAGCATCAAGGTCGACCCGTCTGAACCATGATGCTCCTCAGGCTGCAGTCTGACCGCTTGGATTAAACCTGCATCACCTCCTGCTCCCAGCATGCACTGCTGCTGCCGCCACAAGCAACAGAGGTAACGTTCATGAGCTCTATTAAAAATGCTTTTAATGAGGATTCCATTTATTCACAGGTTCTGTGTCCACTGATAAAAGATTAATATGACACGTTACTTCCTGTTTTAATCATAAAAAATTACAAAAGCAATATTTTAAACCATTAATCAAGTAAATGTATTTTTAAATATTGATTGAATATAACAATTGATTTGAAAACCATTGATTTTGAACAAATGAACACAGCATATGGAAACTTTGTTAAAGACTAAAAAAATTAAAGTGGTTCTATTTGAGTAACAGTAAGAAAAATAAGACAAAATATAAATATTCTCAGTAAAGCAGATGAAATCAAATCACATCTAAACAGCAGACGAAGAGGAGATGATACAACATGTCAGGTAAAACAGCAGGATATTAAAAAGAATGAAGAGTTGCTTTATATATATATATATATATATATATGTATATATTTACTGTATTATACATTTAATCTTTTCTTCTCTTTCTCTGCGTCTGCTGCTGCTGATGAATGTTCATCCTCTGACCCAGATAAAATCTACACAGCTTCACTTTTCATTCTCCTCAGTGTGGACTCGCTGGATTCAACCTGGAGCATCGAACTGTAAACTGAGGTCAGCGGCTCGAACATAACGATAATGATGCTGATGTATATTTAAATATAAACACTGTCATGAGTCTAAAATCTGCCCGGCGGCGTTTATCAGATCTATAACACTGTCTGATCTCTGTGCCAATAATCTGCTGCTCCCTGAAAAACACTGGAGGACGCCTGCAGGGAGGAAGACGACGAGTGGGGGAGGAAGAGACGGGGGAGGAGCCCTGCTGGAGCCGCTGGTTCAAATCCCAGAGAAGAAGTCAGAGGGAGCAGGTCAGTGATGCTGCTGAAGTGCTGCTGAGCAAAGCAGCTGCAGAGGAAACAATCATCGCTCTGTCTCCTTATGAAACTACATTGAACTCAGTGCATTTGTATCTGGATCAGATCTCACTGATTCTTTCATTGTGAATTATTCTCTGAGAAAATGTGGAAAAATATTCTCATAATGTTCAAAGACCAAAAATTCCTGATCCAGATCCAGACGCAACCTTCGTACAATAGCTTTTGCATAATCCTCCCACACGTCTCGATCGCCCCTGGTGGCTGACTTCGGTACAGGTATTAAACCCTCCTCCTCCATGTTAGCAGATGGGACATAAACCAAACAAAAAAATCAAAGCACGCGTGAAATACATATATTTCTGCCAAATGACGACATCTGCACAAGATGGCAGAGTTTGTTTTCAAGATATTTTTTTGTCGTCGTCTTTATTTACAGTCTGTGATTGAAAGTTTGAGCAGAGCAGCAGGTGTCGGAAAAGTTTTTAAATTCCTGCTTATAATTCAATCATTAGTGTCCTGCAGTCTTTAAAACGTCTTCATAAATGATTGACTTGTTGCTGTAGAGACACGTGTGTATTAGTAAGTCAACTGTACTACATTGTTTAAATTGTTCAAAATAATGATTACTTTATGTTCAACTCGTGCACCTGATTTATTTCATGTTGATAAT